GCCTTGAGAGATTAGCTTGTGATTATTAGGTTCTCCTAGGAGATTATTTTAATTACAATGATACATTTACATGTGCATCGTGTGTGCTGCCTCATTTATGTGTGTTTATGCTTTCTTTTTCTCTCAGGGTGCTCAGGCTGTTGGAATGGGTAAAGAAGCTCTTAATGTTCGAGCAGCTGCAGAACTATTTGATAAGGCAAATGATATACTTGGGTATCTACAAACCTCCGATACGATTTACCTGTTTGCTCCCCCTAGCAAACTTACGCTTTAAAGTTAACAAGTGTCCATAACAATTCCAAAGGGAAAAACGGCGATGCTCATGCTTGTTTAATTTTCAATGTAGCTATGACTTGCTGAATCTTTGCATCGATGGACCAAAAGAAAAGCTGAACTCAACAGTGATCAGTCAGGTTTCTGAATTTCACTCTTCGCTCCCACTGTATTTTACATTATTCGTTTTCATATCCGTGCAAGTAGTATCCTTAGGTGTCTACCCTTCGCTGCTGCTTACTGTTAGCAACTGAAACATATCTCCTTAATAGTCATTCAGGGCAATATAGTTTTCAGCCATGAATACCTATTAAGTGCTAAATCTGGTTAGTCAGTTACAGTGCTAGCTAAGTATTTTTTGTACCAACATCCATGCTTTGTAGCCTGCCATGTTGCTTCAAAAGGGAACCCACAAGATTGTTTTGCATTTTATTTTTCTCAGCTATGCTGCATACATTTGATTGTGAAGGATGATTTGGTTCAGATACAGTTCCTGATCTTGCCAGTTAGAGCTGTATACTGATTGTCGAACAAAACCATTTTGCAGCCAGCTATATACGTTACCAGCCTTGCAGCTGTAGAAGTGTTGCGCGCACGTGAAGAAGGCCAATCTGTAATTAACTCCGTAGATGTCACATGTGGTCTCAGCTTGGGAGAATATACCGCGCTTGCATTTGCTGGTGCCTTTAGGTATTGCCCTTGTTCCATTAGTGAAATCATGCATTTGCTGTTTTAAATATAAGCATTTAAATTCATGATCAGAATGAAGATAACTCAGAGTATATGTTAAATTCAATCCTGGTGAACATCATCTTCAATCTGCTATACCTGTGACAAGATGGTCAAATTAATAGCCCCATAGCTTAGTTTTTTCAGTGTGTCAAGTATGTATGCTTAAGCAGTTTTCAACATGCAGCTTTGAGGATGGTCTGAAGCTTGTCAAGCTTAGAGGAGAAGCCATGCAGGTTAGTGCCAATAAGATATGTGTGCTTTGAGTTTCTGACTTTCCAAATAGATTGCTCATGGTCTTTATCTTTGTAGGATGCCTCAGACGCTGCCAATAGTGCGATGGTTAGTGTCATTGGTCTAGATTCAGAAAAGGTGCAACAATTATGCGATGCTGCAAATGAGGATGTGGATGAAAAGGAAAGAGTTCAAATAGCAAATTTTCTCTGTCCTGTAAGTCATTCCTGACTCTGAGGTTATTTGTTTCCTACTGAGGCTTGCTAAGGTCTTAGCATGGTAATACCTTGTTGCAGGGTAACTATGCAGTTTCTGGTGGTGTGAAGGGTATTGAAGCAGTTGAAGCCAAAGCAAAGTCTTTTAAGGCCAGAATGACGGTTAGTGTTCCCATGCATCCAATTTCTCGACAATGGTCCATGTATGTAAACATTTGGTATATACCTACAATAAAGTGTGAAACCTGGTTATCGTAATTTATAGTGGTTTTGAAAACTGAAACTGCGCAAGGTCATTATACTGAATAGTGCTCCCTTGGTCAAAAACATAAACCATTTTGTACATCTTCGTTGTTACGCAACTTTGACTATAAATTTTGGTGGGAATATGTCAGACAACAGACCATAGTACTGATAATAGAATAATATTGCAAGAGTACAATTGGTGAAATGTCTGATGGTCGTACCATTTTCCTGTGATCAATTTATAAAGCTTTTGTTTGTATTGGTGGTGAAGGCTAAGAAAAATTCACTACATGCATTCTAACATGGTGTATACTGTTTACAGAGGGGGTAACTGTATACTAATATGTAACTTGATCCTGTGACTTGTCGTGGGGGATTAGGAAAAGTGACTGCCTTGTTGCTGTCAATCTAAGAGGCATTGTTGAAAACCGTTTCCTCTGTTGCATAGCATATAATCAAAGGTTTGTATATGATGTTGACAATTGTCTTGCCAGGTTCGCCTAGCTGTTGCTGGTGCTTTCCACACAAGCTTCATGCAACCCGCTGTCTCGAGATTGGAGTCTGCATTGGCTGCTACAGAGATTAGATCACCGAGAATCCCAGTAATCTCCAATGTTGATGCACAGCCCCACTCCGATCCTGAGACAATCAAGAAGATTTTGGCACAACAGGTATTGGATCTAGACTATACTTGAATTCGTGTCGCACCTATTATACAATGACTTGTGTGTGACTAACTGAGTGGAGAAACAGGTAACCTCTCCTGTGCAATGGGAGACTACTGTGACAACTCTTTTGGGTAGAGGCCTTGAGAAGAGCTATGAACTCGGACCTGGAAAGGTAAAGATAGGTTCATAATAATTTCTGACTGGATAACAATTCTTCAGAGTCTGTGATGATCTTTAGTTTTTTATTTATTTTTGCTCGTCTGGCATAAACCAGGTTATAGCAGGAATCATTAAACGGATCAACAAAGGTGCCAGCATCGAGAACATTGGCGCATGAGACATGAATCGCCAATATTATAAGGGCAAATAATAAAGCAAGGGGGGCTGCTTAGATTTAAGCAACACTCCTAACTGTACTACCAGGGCACGAGAGCACCACAGGGTCTGGCAATTTCCTGTCATTTGTGAAGAACATAGATAGTGTTGTCCAATTATGTTTCATTGGCTAGAGCTAGGTTTCTCGGCGGTTAAGCTTGCCCTCTATATTGTGAGGACCAGAATGAAATTTCAGTTATAGTTCTGAGTTGTATCAGTAATTTCATCCCCATGGTTCACTGTTTGACCTCCCATTCTAAGTTCATTCATGTCTCTCGACAATGAATTTACCATCAGCTGAACGCAAACAAAACGCAAGGCTGGCTGAGATAAGCCCCACATTGCGCTAAACAGAAACAACCAACACGGTCACTCCCTGATGATGTAGAAACGGCCTTCTTCCTCTTTCCTGCCCGAGGTCCTTATTTTGACTTAGATCCCCTGGCCGATCTGTGCCGACGAAGGGCCAACTCCATATCTTGACGACGTCCGATCCACACCCAGTCACCCACGAAGGGCCAGTAGGGGTATTCATTGCCAGATTTCTAAGATTTGTCATGCAGGGTTACTAAATCTTGTCGGGACAACCTTAATGCTTGTTCAATATTGTTTTCGGTGTACTTTTGCCTTTTACAAGTCATTTTGTATTTAGTTATCATACTAAATATTGCTTTCTTCGATAAATATAATAGACACCCACCTCTTTCTTGTCAATGTACTCCCCTGTTTACAAATGAAAATAGTACTCATCCAGTTAAGTTTATCATACTCTCCAATCAGGTTTATGGGGTGAAATGCATTGTACATCTAGAGCATATCACTAAATTTACATTCAAATAAAGTTCATAAACATATAATTTTGATAGCATATAAAATATGAATTTAGTTTCAGAAACGGCTGGCCTCACCCGGCTCGCGTCAATCGCCTCCATGACCATCCGGTCAAATTTTGATCATGCGCCACGTAGCAACCCCATACATTGGTTTGCAACGCCGCCCTTGTTGCAAGGCATGAGCGAAATGGGGGGTTTGTTGCAGATCAAGATATCCTTCGGGTCTTCTACCTCCGGCCTCAGCCCGATCAGCCGCCGACAGCCCTCGTGCATGCACACGCACCAAACAGCCCTCGTGCATGCACACGGCACCAAACGCACCGTCGCCACTGCCAACAAGAAGCACTCAGCCGACATGCCTCACTCTCATCGCACCGTCGCCACCCTCTTCCTTTCCAGTCTCGCATTAGTCAAAACCCCACGTGTCCCCCGGCCCTCCTCTCCATCTCGGCAGTCGTCGGCGACCTCCCAGGGCAACCACACATCGTCCACGCTGTCCCTGACTATCACTGACCGCCTCTGTTGCTGCAGCCCCTCCCACTCCAGCATTGCCCACACAGCAAGGATGCAAGGGGCTAACAATCATGTTGCAATTGCAACGAGTTGTAGACAGCTGTGGTGCTGCTGCAACATCTCCATTATCCCATACAATTTTGGTGGGCATGTCTTATATTAATCAAAGCAATTAGCTAGAGATATTACATCATGTTGATCGGATTGTAAGTTAAACATCAAAACACTTACTAGAGAGAAGAGCACAAACATATGACATAACAGGCAAACGATTCGATATGCAATAGGGAATTGCAGTGACTAGGCAGAGATGTTGAACAATTAGAAATGACAATCAAGTGCAACAAGATAAACGAGCAGAGGTTCATAATTTAAATGCTCAAAACTTTAACATTGTTCACGTTCATTGCCATCTCCATCAAACTTCCTAACCCCAGATCGTTAACAAAACTATGTTTCTGGAATACATTGATAGCACAACTAACTGAGACCTCGACCAAAACATTTGGATCAGAAAGATATGAAAATGGAGGACATTCAAGGCATGGATCTTCAGGCAGTTTCAGTCACAGGGTACTCAAAGACAACGTCTTTCCCACAAAGCCTGCGGTAGACTGCAGAGAAGGTCTCCAGCTTGTACTCAGTGTTGTTGCGCTCCTTCGGGTCCAAGTAGATCTGAAAGAACACCAAGAATAAGATCAGCACTAGAATTGCTTGCCAATCAAGCAGAGTGCTAAGCGCAAGCAGAGTGCTGAGGGCAAGGTGCTGCCAGACTAATGTAAGAAGTTGCTAAACAAGCATCATATCAAACAGTACCAGTTGTAGCACTACAACTGCAGCCACCAAATGAGTATATGCATGTTTCAACTTCTCACAGGGTATTTACATGATGATCAATAAACTGAAAAGTTCAAAAGACTACCTTGATGACCTTGGCACCATCCAAACGGTACCTGACACGCTTCCCCACAATCTCAGCTGGGTACACAACATCCTCCAAGATACCATCATGAACAGCTGTCAGGGTCCTGGTGCGAGGGCGCTGAACAGCAGAACCCTTCTTGGGTGGCCTCACGATCCTTCTTGTTGCAACAAAGACAACATCCTGTACAAGTGAAGCACATTTATCAAATTCCATTGTTTCAATTTTTATCAACATCATTTCGGAGTTTAAACATGTTTAAACTCCTGCAGCTAAACAACATGTTACAGTTTTTACAGTGATGATCTGGGACAAAGTGCAAGGAGTTCCAAGTGTAGCCAATAAGCTTGGAGGCAAAGATTTACAGTACAAGCATGAAAATCAGAATAGCAGAACTCCAGCTTGAACACTGCAATTAGCTTATTATAGATGCCAACAATGGATACCTATTGAGCAATTTGCTTTCATTTAAATGCAACCAAGGGAAAAACTTGAGGCAAACAGGCTCATGGATGCCACCTTGAGCTGATACATTTGTCTTAACCAACTTCATACACTAATGATGTTGTCATGTATTATGCTCTGGGGTACCATGAATTTTGACATTCACATCCTAAAATGGATATAATAGATTCTAGTATACTCAGTCGGCTTCTTACAATAACATATCTAATTGTTCAGCACTGCTACTGCAAGACACTATTTACAAATTACAACAATTGTGTAGCAACTTAAACATGCGTTTAGACAGGAACTGATAAAGCGAAGCACAACAAAGCAAACAAGTATAAGCAATTCACCTTGCCGCTAAACTTCTTCTCGAGCTCCCTGACGAGCCTGACATGGATCTTCCTGAAGGGCTTGCGCAGACGGTATGGCACATGGATCACCACGGCCTTCCTGTTCCCAACAACATCCATCTGGCTGCAAACAAAGCGCGACCGTATCAGAACGCGTCCACCACTACCAAATAAATCGGCCCGACAAATAGATCAGGAGGGTCTTAGATGTAGCAAACGGCGACTTACATTGCAGTGTTGATGTACAGGTCCTTGAGGTCGCTCTTGAGCTCCTGGTTGCCGTTCTCCAGGTCAAAGAAAACCTGCAAGATATTAACCACCACAGGCATGTCAGACCTTGACAGATCCAAACGAAGAGCGGTTCGGGGAAAACAAAGGAATGGCCAAAAGAAGCCGGAGAGGAGGGACGCGGGAGGGCCGCTCACCTGCGCGACGGTGTCCTCGAACTCGGAGGGCTCGACGCCCTTGTCCTTCTGGATCTTCTTCCTGGCGGTGTACATCTTGCTTCCCTTTCGCCGGGCCCTGCAGACGCAAGGGTTGGATTCGCAGAGTGCACACGGATCAGCAACGAGCAGGAAAGGGGGGGTGGCGGCGGAGGGAGGGAGGGGGAGAGGGAGATAAGATACCTGCGCGAGAGGAGACGAGGGAGCAGAGAAGTGGAGGCGCCGGCGCTAGGGTTTGGGAGGAGGCGTGGGAGTCTCGCGGAGAGCGCTCTTATAAAACCCTAGCCCGTGTGGACTGGGCCGACGGGAGGTCGTGTAGTGGCCGGGCCGCATTTACTTTGGTGTATCAGCCTAGCCCAGCTTAAATGAGCGCGGCCTTTTATCTTCCGGGGTTGCCCTTGTTAGGCTGGCTTTTCAATGAAGATGGGATTGTTAAAGAATGTGTTATGTGGCTTTTATTATCCCTCAAAAAAGTATGTGGCTTTTATCTGTTTCTCAAACAAAACAAATCCACCGCTCCAAAAAAATGTGGCTTCTATCCACACCTTCAAAAGAAAATGTGGTTTGCCTAAAAAAGAAGTCACAACAACTTGCTCGTTTTCAGTGGTTGGCAAAAAGGGACAACAATAAAGCCTTCGTAAGAAGGCCACCTCTCGAAAGAAGAAGAACCAAATTGATAGGCTAGCTCGGCCGGATGGCTTGTTTAGTGAGGATCATCAAGAGCTTGCACCTATGACTACAAATTTCTATAAAAATATGTTTGTGTCTATAAAGGAACTATTGGAATTGAGGAGGTTCTCTCACATGTGCCTTGTAAAGATACAACCGAGATAAACTAAGCTTTAGCTTTGTGTGGTGTCTATACTGAACTTGATGTCAAGCATGCTCTGTTCCATATGTTCTCAACTAACGCGTCGGAACCAGATGGCTTGCCGGCTCATTTCTTTTAGAAAAATGAGAACTTTGCCGTGAGGAGGTAATTGGAGTTCTATTGTAGATTCCTTATGGAGAGGAAACTCCGGAGGAGTTCAATAAAATGTTCATTGTTATCACCCCTAAGGTATCAAACCCGGCACTTTTGTACCCTCCATTAGCTTTACAATGTGATGTATAAAATTGTCTCTAAAGTGCTAGCTAACCGATCAAAACTCGTCCTTTCGGAGATCATTTCTTTCCAGAAAACTGATTTTGTCCTAGACATGCTCATTACTAACAATGTATTTACTGTATATGAATGTTTGCACTTCATGAAAGTTAAGAGGGAAGAAAATAGCATGCGTTGCTTGAAGCTTGACATGATGAAAGTCTATGTCTCTATGACCACGTGGAGTGGAAATATTTGCAGGAAAAAGTTATACTCGAGTTGGGTTTGAGCAAATCTTGGGTACAAGGGGTGATGAGATGTGTTTCGTCGGTGCCTCTTCGAGTGTTGTTCAATGAAGGAAAAGTTG